GGCTAAGGGGAGAAGAGTTTTTTTTATTTGTAACTTTAAAAGAAGGCGAAAAGTTACTATATTAGCTTATGCTCTGTGTGATGAAGGCTGGAAGCTACTTTATTATTGTCTTTGTTGCCTTTTTCCTTTCCTTTCCTTTTCTCAACTTTTCTCAACTTTTTTTTTCTTTTTTTCTACACCTTTTGAACTTTTTACCCCCTTCTTTTTTAGTTTGTATTACATAGTTTTTACTATATTTGTTAAAAATGTCAATAAAAATATTTTTTTAAAAAAGCAGTTAGATGTCCTGAAATCTTTAGCTGTGTCATAAATACTGTTAGTACTCTGAAAGATCCTCAGTTTTCGCTCAGTAACATGCTGAGTGCCATCCAACCTAAGGGGACCATCATCTGGCATTATATCATCTATCACTTTATACTGTCAATCGATGTAGTTTTCTTGGTAAAATACAGGAGTGGTTTGCCTTCTCCCACGCAGCATGAAATGATACCTTGTCATTGTCACCAAAGTTATTATCTACCTCCAGCATCTTCCTATATTGCTGCTGCCCAATCGAGGTGCCCACTTGGTTTAGCTGGGCATTTGGGATGACCTTCATGCCTTGGGTGACCCTGCTGGGAATATATACTCTTGGCATACACTCCCAATGTCCTTTGCTCATCCCTCCCAGGAATACACACACACACACACACACACACGCCCGCCACAATGAAGCAGCACAGCAGGACTGGAGTTGGGGGGGGATCTCGGTTGCTTAATAAAGGTCTTTTTATTCCCTTTTTCTGTGTTAACTTAGTTTTTGTGGTATCCTATATATGTTCCATCCAATTTTTAAGTGGCTGTGTGTTGAATCCTGAATCCACAACATAGTGCTATTGTGCTGCCTCTGTTCATTTTAATAAAGACTGTACAGTCCTGATTGTGAATCATGTCCATAGTTGATCGAACAGGGGAATGGACTTCATTTCTTGATCATTTGAATAATTAATTTTGGTAGCAGAGACAGAGCTCTTTGGTCACAGAGCTTCGATTTCTAAAATGAGACTCCTAACATATGCACAGCTTTCAAGAAAATGGATTGTGCTTTCATTGTTTAAACAGCCTATTACATTATGCAGAATGAGGTAACGCTCTACTAACTTGATCTTCTGCAGTTTCCTGGAAGTAAAACTCACTGAACAAAATAGGACTTATTTTTATATGTTTATTATTGTATAGAATTCTGGACTTCTTGGAAAGAGCCCTTTACTCTCTCTAGGTAATAACAGGGAAATAGATTCTGCTATGCGCTTGTTTCCTGTTTTCAAAGAAAAATTTTGGTGGAAGGCAGAAGCCTCATGGTTTAGTCCCTGATATCATCAATGGTTAAAGTGGCAGTGGATGGGGAGGTCCATGTAAGACTTTAGAAAGCATCTGCCAGTCAGAACACACACAAGGGACTAAATGGATAAATGCAATTATAATAAGTAGTATAATTAACTAATGTATGTCATTCCCAGCAGATACCTAAGGTAGTACAGTCATTTGCTCTAAGTGGTGCTTGAAGTCAGGTCAAGGGTGAAAGGGGACAGAGGTCCATCCAACCCTGTTGAAAAGACCAGAGAGACTGACCTTTGGGATTCCAAGAGCTCAACATAGGAAATGAGGAAGGAAAGACATGCTTGAGGCTGGTGAGAGAAGGTTCTACTTGAATCAAAGGCCTTGCACCTGATCCAATTTCCAAATGTGGAAATTCAGTCAGACCCTGCTACTAAATCAACCAGACTGGTCACATTAAGGAATGTCTCCAACTTGACCTCCTGGCACTTGTTTTTAAGCCACATTGTTGATAGAGGTCCCTTTTTAGCATCATCCATGAGAAATGAGCTTCATTTATAAAGGGTGATGCCTAATCCATAGTCATGCTTGGCAGACTAGCACATTATATCTACTTCTCCCACCCCATCCCCAAACAAATTCACAAGCTACAAAGGGGTTTCAAAGCATTTTTTCTCTCCCCTGACTGAAGATATAGTGTCAGATAATGGGCCCCTCAGGTTGGACGACGCTCAACATGCTACTGAGGAAGAGCTGAGGATCTTTCGGAGTACTACAGGTAGTCCTCAACTTACGGCCATTTGTTTAGTGACCGCTCAAAGTTATGACAGTGCTGAAAAAAGTGACTTACAACCAGTCCTCACATTTTCGGTCATTGCAGCATCCCCGTGGTCATGTGATCAAAATTTGGGTGCTTGGCAACCAGCATGTATTTATTACAGTTGCGGTGTCCTGGGGTCACCTGTTGCAGTGTCCTGGGGTTTGCAACCCTCCCAGCCGGCTTCCAACAAGCAAAATCAATGGGGAACCACATGATTCACTTAACGACGGTGGTTATTTGCTTAACAACCACTGCAAAAAATGTTGTAAAATCGAGTGCTGTCATGTGATGCCTCACTTAACAACAGCACTGCTTAACAATGAATTTTCCAGTCCCTATTGTGGTTGTATGTTTATGACGTGGCTAGATTAAAACCTTCAGGACATCTCATTACTGATGTTGCCATACAGGAAAAGAAAACCTGAAGCTGCAAAGACAGGATTACAATGGAAACATGGAACACAAGAAGCATGAACATGGAAAGCTCAACGCAGTGAAAGATAAATGAATAGACTGCATAGTGACATCTTAGGCATCAGCTAATGGAAACGGACTGGAAGTAGACATTTTTACTTAGAAAAATCACACTGTTTACTACTCAGCACATGAAAAACAAAGAAGAAATGGTGCTGTTTTCACAGGAGGAGTAAAGCAAGAAAGTACTTGGTTACAATAACAAATAACAATGACAAAATAATATTAGACTTTGCCAACAACCCTTTAACTTTATTTATTTATTTATTTATTTATTTATTTATTTATTTTTCAAATTTTGAAGATGCCCAACTCTGATGACTCTGGGAGATCTATAAATTTAAAAAAGGAAAGAAATACAGTACATATAAAAAGAACACAGCCAACCAGAAAAACGAACACCCAATCTTAAATTAGACAAAACTGAACTAACTAGAAGGAGCTACACAACTACCTTAGCCCAAAGCCTGGGAGAAAAACCAGGTTTTGCGTAATTTGTGGAATGTTACAGGTATGGGAACCACACAATGATGATTATCCAAGTCTATGCTCCAACCACTAGTGCAGAATTTTATGATCAGGTTCAATCTGAAATTGATATAACATACAAGCAAGATGTGTTGCTTGTGATTGGAGACTGGATTTCTGATTATAGAAAGGTGTTCAATTGTACTGATCATGTCAGCTGTGGAATGTCCTTAGAAAAACAGGAATCCTAGAACATCTCATTGTTCTCATGCAAAACCTATATACAAATCAAGAAGCCACAGTATGGACAGAAAGTGACAAAACACAATAGCTCCAGGTAGGCAAAGGAGTAAGACAAGGCTGTATCCTCTCCCCTAATTTATTCAACCTACATGTGGAACGTATCTTGAGGGAAGCAGTCCCGTAACCCTCCATGGAAGCTGGAGAGTAAGTAAGATGACCTTGACAGAAATATGCAAGAACTGTTACCTAGGCAAAGGAGGCTGAAACATTTTTAAGTCCTGAGAAAGGAGATAAAATTTGGAAGCAGCTCATGCAGACACCTCCCTGATTCACTGGAGTATAAGAAAGTGTGTGTGTGAGGGGGGGAGAGATACAGATACAGAGATACAGATAAGATTATTATCATTAGAGTAGAGTAGAATAGAGTAGAGTAGAGTAGAGTAGAGTAGAGTAGAGTAGAGTAGAGTAGAGTAGAGATCCAGTTTGGTGTAGTGGTTAAGACACTGGGCTGGAAGACCATGAATTCTAGTCCTGCCTTGAGCATGAAGCCAGCTGGGTGACCTTGGGCCAGTCACTTTCTCTTAGCCCTAGGAAGGAGGCAGTGGCAAGACACTTCTGGAATTTTGCTAAGCAAACTGCTGGGACTAGTCCAGGCAGTCACCAGGAGTCAGCAATGACTTGAAGGCAGCAAACAACAACAACAACAATAATAATAGCCAATCTCAAAGTAATTCTAGTCTTGTAGAGTTGATTTCCTGGTCTGGTCTACCTAGTGAGGCTGAGGGAAGTGAAAGCTGAACTTTGAAGAAGCAGAATAGAAAGAATATCTCAGCAGCGATTGGCGCACTAATGGAAGACCTGAAGGACCAGGTTAGGGACAGATTGTCTTGGAGAAAGCCTATCTCTGTGGTCACTAGGAGCTGACACTAACTCGATGGCACAAATCCAACCCTCACTCCCCTTGTACTTGCTCCTTCCTTTAAGGGTCTTCTCTTCTTGTTCTGGGCAGCAAATCTCTTGTGCAAAAGGGAGGAAGGATTAGTATCCACACATTTGCTCCCACCTGCTTTCCTCTGCTCAGAATTACATCTACCAAGGCTGTGGGTTCTGGCCGTCCAAGTAATTACAGGCAGCTGCAATATTTGTATGATATGAACTATGTTACTGAGTAGTTTGAACGGCTATCAGTTGGTTCTGTGTTATCTCTCCTGGCCTTTGCAAGACCCTTTTGTCTCAAAACTCAAGCAAACTCCCTGAGTTGGATTCAGCAGCCAAAGCATTCCTTGACCGGCACAATGCTTCCAGATCTTGGGGCTTCTTTTCCAAAGTTCAGCATCCAGCCTGGGATGCACTGGGGGCCACCAAGAAGCTCAGTCATTGCCCTTCTGACACATCTTTGTGCTTTCCAACTGACTCTTCCTTCCATCTGTCTCGAGGTGCCTTCTTTCAAGTGTAACCACCCTGTGGCTACTTCATTCATGGCAAGAGAACAGACTTCAGTAGCTTCCTTTTGTGAAGTAAGTAAAACTCAAGGCTGCGAATATGGCCCAATATGGCCCAATGCCAGGATAAATAACTTCAGATCATATTAAAAAGAAAACTAAGATCCAGCCAGTGTTGGGGGGTTTTCAAAGCTATCAAAGCTTCTTTTTAAATGCAAATGCTTCAGGTTTGCTCCTTATCGGAAGAAAAGAAAAAGCTGTAGATAAGCAGCAGGGTGTTCTCAGACACAGTGCTTGGAGAAATGAAGGAGGCTCACTTTGTGGCAAAAGTACAAAGCACAATGGGATGGAGTGACTATGACTATTTTCAATAGAACACCATACTGTATTTGCCACATTCAGTCAGTGATTTCTTCTCCCATAAAAAGGCCAAAAATATTCAGAAGCCTCTGTTAATCTTGCCATGAACAGAGATTTGCTTTTACAGTCTAAGGAGTTTAAGGATTTTTATTGCACATGAATATTTGTAAGCCACCCAAGGAATGCAGATAAAGTGATACTGGAAGAGATCATAGTTGTGATAGAGAACTTCCTCTGCAGGAGGAGGCACCATGTTCAGTCCTTGGCATTCTCTGCAAATCGCAAGTGATGTCTTTCTGATTGAGGCCCCAGAGCAGGAAGGAAGAGATGGTAGAGGGCTAGGTGGAAAAACTTCCCAGACTTCAAAATCTGCTGCAGAAGGATCTGTTGAAAATCTGTTAAAAATTAGATTATCAACAAAGGAGCTCCCAAAAAGTTTGAAAGAT